ATGATGGCGGCATATGTGCAAAGGTGCTTGACACACTGGAGGAATGTATGGATTGTGCTAAGAGATGTAAGAGCCCCCAATAAAAGTATTAAAAAAAAAACAAAAGATTCCTTAGCTGAATCCTGATCATAAGGCAGAATATGCTGAACAGAATCTGAAATTCTCATAGACCCCAGACTTCTTGCCAGGAAGGTTGGATGAGCCACGGAAAGGACAGATGACTGACATCTTTAGACCTCAAACAAAATAGATCCCCTGGGACAGTGGTCCTCAACCTTCCTCATGCGGCCACTTTTCATACAGGTCCTCATGTGGTGGTGATCCCCAACCGGACCATGATTTTCGTTGCTACTTCATCACTGTCATTTTTGTACAGTTCTGAATCGGGTGATCCCTGTGAAAGGGTCATTCAACCCCCAAAGGGGTCATGACCCACAGGTGGAGAACCACTGTTGGAGAGCCCTCTTAAAACGGAACAATAATTTAACTTAACTAGTCAAAAAGGGCTGCCTTGAGCACCCCGCTCTTCTCAGAACTATCTAGGAGCTCAAACTAACCACAGCAACTTGAAGAGATTAAATAGGAGCCTTAGGGGCAGTGGGTCTCTGAGAGAGGACGCCGCAGAAGAGGAGGGCCGGCAGTGCTGCGTAACACAAAGCATGTCGTCAGTGACGCGTGTAGAAACACTGCGTTGGGGTGTGTCTCGCAGCCCAGCAACAGGAACAAAGTTAGAAGGAAAAGAAATGGTAAAAAACACATTTCATGAAATCAAATTGAACAGGAATTCTTAGACTATTCTTATACTCTCCTGGAAATTTTTAATTATTTCAAATTTTAAAACTTGATTAAAAAAAAGATGCTTAATAGGGTCCAAGAACTTGTCATAGCTAATTCCTTTACTTAATCTCCACAACCCTTCAAGACTGACTGCCCCTCTTTGGCAGACTGGGAAGCTAGCTTCCATGACAAAGCGCTAGGGAGAGGCGGCCGGTGACTGAACCCCGCTGTCTGGCTCCAGAGCCCACACCCGCTCCTCAGAGCTCTATGAAGGGAGAAAACCGAAGCAGCTGTTGCTTTTTTCATTCTAGTTCACAGTTTCCATAGCCAAGGTCTCACTTGGTCCTTGATCCCATCTCAGGAAGTCCTTAAATCCCATCAGCCCCTTTATAGTCATTAGAAACTTAGGAGCCAGAAAGGTTAAGCAGCTCAGCTCAAAGCGAGCAATCAGGGGATGACGATAGGTTGGCATCCTGGGTCAGACCATCCACTTACTGGACTCTCCATCAGCCACCTCCAATCCTCTCGACAATAACACAAGGGAGGGAACGGCAAGCCCCCCTTGTTTGGTTTGTTTTCCGCGAGCAACAATGTTTCATGCTTTGACGAGCACCCTGCCATGACAACACACATGTGTCCAGTTACACAGAACATGCTGCCCTGTGTGCCATGGGAGTCCATCTGAGTCTCCCACTGGCTATTGATATCGTCCACGCAATAAAACAGGTCAAACCATCTCGCTGTCACCAACGGTAATGTGTTGGCATATAGACACGGCGGCCGCGGAGGGGCTCAGCCATGAGAACAATCGTGAGGCCGGCCCAGGGCTGGGCGGTATTACCCTCTGTGGGTCCTAGGGTCCCTATGAGTCAGCACCCGCTGGGCGCTGCCTAAGAACAACCATCGTTCTTTGCAGCTAAAAACCCATCATCCCTTCTCGAGCCTGTGTAACCCGAAGCTCGAAGGAGACCTCTGGGGAGTCCATTTCTCTGCTCTGTTTCATGTAATAATCACCATTTTCGAGTTGGAGGAACAAGCTCGCAGCAGCAGAATGCTCCAAGCACCCAAGTTAAAACCACCAGAGAGCTGGGCCTTGAACCCAAGCTGCCTTCTGTCTCTCCCTCTGTGCTTCTCAAATCCCCGCAAACACCGAGCCAGGAAGGTTAGCAGCACTGCAATCCGACAGAGAAGAAAATCAGCCTTCAGACTGGCTTCCTCTCTATCAAGGCCCCTGTGAGGACAATGCGGCAAAAAGGGCTGAGATCAGAACGGCGCTCAGCTGCCGAGGGGCTGGATGGCACCGGGACCCAAACCCCCGAATTCTCTCCGTTTTCTAGACGAGGGAGCAGAGGTCAACCAGAATGGAGGCAGGAAGCTGGCCAGCACGCTCCTAATGACAATATTAAGAATAGCCCATACGCAGCGGGCTTCCACCGTCCCAGGCCCTGTGCTAACTGCTCTTCGTTCACGTTACCGCTGAGTCTTCGAGACGATGGCACGTGAGGGAGATGAAGTCACTCTGTCAGTAAGCAGTGGAGCTGGGCTTTCACCCCTGGCAGTCCAGCGCCAGAGCAGGCCTTTTACTACGCCGTCCCCACCACGTGAGTGGCGCTCCTGCACTCACCTTGGGAGAGGTGATCTTGATGTAAACAATGATGGGAGCCAGCGAGGTTTTGGAGAGCTGGGCCGGGTGGTTGATGGTGTCCGCATCCAGAGCCACTAACTGAAGGGTCCGGGCCAGCTCAAAGATCCGCTCAATCTCGCTCTGCACCTCGGCTGGGGGGAAGGGGAAAGGTGAGGAGTGGGTCTTCCCCCGGAAGGCAGAGCATGTCTAGAATACCTCCACCTAGCCCAGAGGCTGGGGAGTTGAGGGGATGAGGGGTGGCCTCCTCACCCAGGCTGGAGCGTGTGTTAGAGCGCTCAATGATGATGTGTTTGCTGGGGTTGTTGAGGACTGAGCGCTTGGCCAGGGAAATGTCCGCTGTCACACGTGTGATGGAGATCCTGGGGGGCGGGAGAGGGGAGCCAGGGATCAGGGTGGCTCCAGGCTCCCCTCTGAAGCCTGGAGTCCTAGGATTACCAACCCAGCTCTCCCGCACCTCATACCCAGCAGAGAACCACTGTGGGAGAAGGAAGCCAGCTCCCAAGGAGGGTCTCACCTGCCATCAAACCGATGCTTCAGGAAGTCAAATAAAGCTTTCTGCATCATGTCTGTAACCTGGGGGAGGAAGACAATGTGGGGAGAAGTCAGGCACTTACAGCCACTCAGCAAAGGCAAGGGTGGGAGCTGGTTTCTGCACCCCCACATTTCTTTCTGAATTCCTGGGCTGGATGGGCCTGGAGAGGCAGTGGGGTGCCCTTTGGGTCCAAGGAGCCTCCAAGCGGTTCTCAGATTCCAAAGGTCCATTTGGGTGTTATCTCAGGGAGTCTGGAAGTTCTTTCGGAGGGAACTGGGCCTCTCTGGGTGAATTTCCTAGTAGGTTTGGGCCCCTCTTAGTGGGTTTAGGGGTTTCTCGGAAGATCTGTAGCTTTCTGGGGAGGACCCCTCTGGGACCACTCCCCTCCAGGGGTTCCTACCTCATAGCCCTTGAGCGACGGTCCCACCAGGATGATGGGCCTCATGGAAGGCACCACGTCATAGGGGGGCACATGCTCTGTCTGGGGGGGAAGCAGGAGGGGAACCCCACCGTGGAGGTGGTGTTAGCCCTTTTCCCCCAGCCTCCAGGCTGCCTCATGCATCCTTTCCCACCCCGGTCACAGAACCCAGATGTGAGGGTCGGGGTGGGGAGGGATGGCCAGGGAGAACCCAGGAAAGTCGGGGGTGGAGTGGGTGGGAGGCAGGAGAGGATGGAAGGCAGATACAGGAATGGGTGTTAGAAGCCCACCCCATCCCCAGTTCATTCCCAGGGGGCAAGGAGGGGGACACAGAAAGCCGTAATACTCACAGACTTCTGCTTCTGTTTGGCTGGATCCAGAGTTGCCAAGAGGGAAAGGGGGGCAGGGCAAGGGGGGGCACCCAGGCGGGGACAGAGGGCAAGGCAAGGAGCCAGGGCAAGAAGGGAGAGTGGGCAGGCGAGGAGAGATAACAGAGCATGCGTGTTAGTGACAGACAGAGCCAGGAGGAGACGGGACCCCATGCTAAGGGGGAGCCAGAGGTGGCCCTGACTAGGCCTGGGGGCAGGACTGACTCTCAGTCCAGGGGACACAGGAAGATTTGGAATGCACCCTACTCCGCTTCTGGGTCTTAGAAAAGAGCTGAGAGGGTGATGACCTCTAATTTGGGGCCCACCTCCTGCCCCCAGGGCATGGCAGCCTACCCCCTTTATGGACCCCAGCAATTGTCTTTCTCTGCAGCCAGGAGACCCCCCATGTTCCCACCCAGGCCTACTGGACTCCAAAGAGGGCAAGGAAGGAGCACCCTTTCCATGGCTGGGGAGGAGGGACAAACACTAGGACATCTGATTGGTAGGGAGGGAGCAAGGTAGCTTCCATTATCACCAGGCCCCGCTTCCTCAGGGTGGGGCAGCCCCCCAAGAGAAAGGAGACTGTGATGGATAGCCAGAGCCATCCTTCTCCCTGGGGAGTGGGCTCAGGAGGGGCTGGGTATGGAAAGGGCATGCCCATTCTCTTTGGCATTCTCCCCATCCCCCCAGCCCTCAGCAGGAAGCCCTCATCCCCACAGAATCAGGTGAATGCGTGCCCAGTCCCAGCCCTCCCTCCACCAAAGACCCGGGCCCTGCCTCCCTCCCTCTCTCCAGAGCCCAATGGAATTACCTTCTTAAAGAAGGCGATGCTGCGCTTGCCATGGGGCGGCGGGGTGGTGACACTGCTAACACTAGTCTTGGGGGAGCCACTCTGCTCACCAAGCTCCGCCTCCTCCTCCTCTAACTCTAGGGGGTCTAGTTCAAATGCTAAGTTAGTCATTTCATTACCTGCGCCGCCGCAGAGAGATCAGGAAGGAGGGGAGGAGGAGGCAAGGTGGGGAGAAGGAGTGAGATGGACGCGGAGACACAAGGACAGAACGCAGGAAGGAGGGTGGGGAGAAAAGAGAGAAGAAGAGGTGAATGGAACAGGGCTGGGGAAATGAATGGGGGTGGGGAGTCAGGCAGAGAGATGGAGCTACCAGAGAAAGGGAGAGGAGAGACATGAGGGGACTTCCTGGCCTTTGAGGGGGATGGGGGTGGTGGACCACTGGATGTGTGTGGGGACTCAGGATGGCGGGGAGGGGAGGGCCTCTACTGCAAGGAAAGGAAGGGGCCCTCATATTGGGAGGCCATCCACCCAGGAGCTCCCCTTAGTCCCCTGGGGATGCAGCAGCTCTTACCACTGGCAGGGGGCGTGGGGCGGCGGGTGCCAGTCACCACGTCTCCCAGACTGGAGCTAGAGTTGTCGCCTGATTTGCTGTGTGGGCAGAGAGAGCTGTGAGCAGTAACGGGGTGGGGGGTGGAGGTGGGAGCGTGGTTCTCTCCCGTGGCACCCTCTGTGCTGGTGCCTCCCCAGAGGGAGGGGTGGGTCAGCCTGGGCGCGCCCCGCCCCCAGCCTGGCACCTGGAGCTGAGGCGGTTCTGCCGCAGCTTCTGCTCCTGCAGCAGGCGCAGACTGTCCAGCTTGACGGGGCTGGGGATGAAGCCCACCTCACAGCCCTCCTTCACCAGCCGCCCGATCCACCAGTCGTTGTTGTATTTCTGCAACCCACAGGGGCAGGCGGAGGGTGAGGAAGAGCAGGGGGAACCGCTGGCTATACGCTTGTCCACCCCGCTTCAGGGGGGGACACCATCAGCACATCCTCCCACCACACGGGGGCCCTGACAGCACAATTCTCAGAACCAGCATCCTCTCAGGTCGTGGCCGCCCCTATCCCCGGCACAGCCCTATTCCCAGTGCCTTTCCTCCTGAAGCCTCACCCCAGGGTGCTCGCCGGGAGCACTGTCACTCCCAGGACAGGGTTCAGGATAAGTCCTCCCAATGACCTTGTGACAGGGCCCACCCATTGCCATCGGGTCCACTGACGCAGAGTCCCCCTGGGGGACCGAGTGGAACAGTCCCTGTGGTTGTCATCTTGACAGAGGGAGTGTGCTGCAGCTTTCTCCCCAGAAAGGGCTGGTGGGTTCAACCCACCAACCTGTGGGTTGGCAGCCGAGCACTTAAATCCCGGTGCCACCAGGGCTCCTCTGTGAGCAGGGCATTCCCACCGAGTTGACTGAGGAGAAGTCAAGAGGCTCAGAGAGGTGGAGAGATTTGCCCAAGGTCACACAGCAGACTCAGCCCAGCCTGAGCTCAGGACCTGGCTCACTGGCTGCCTGTACCGGTGCCCATCCCCCTGCCTTCCCTGGGGTTGCCAAGGGCTCTGCCCACCTCCTTGATGTGCAGGAAGTCCTTGGGCTCGAAGGTGATGGCCATTCCGTGCACAGGCACCTCATCACCTGGAGATGGGTTGTAGCCGACATTGGTGCGGACAGCAAAGGCCACCGGCTTGGTCTGGAGGAGGGTACGGGGAGGGTAAGCCAGAGGGTCCACCTTCCGGCCTGGGCTGGGAGGAGGCCGGCCATGGTTGGCTTTGGAAAAGATTCTTTACAGTGTACTCGAGTGGCTTGTGCCGTTTCCTACATGGGCGCGTTAAAATCGCATCATCCACATGGAGAGTCAGGAATGGACTCCTCTGGGGGGTGCAGCTGGAGTAGCGGGAATACTGATGTGGGAGGAGCCCGATGGACAGCAGAGAGAAGTGGTCATGGAAGCAGGTGCCGGGCCTTGTTCCAGCTCCTGCATGCATGATCCCACAGAAGCCTCCTTCTTGCTGTGCTGACGGAGGGGACGGAAGCCCAGAAAGGTCAAAGGACTTGGCTGAGCTAGCACGGCCAAGAGGCAGGGGCTGGGATTCCAGGCCAGGAAGTCCCACTCCAGGAAGAAGTGCCTACTATGTGCTGAACGTAGTATTAGACATCGAGCAGGAGGTACAAGGGGGCAGGTTCAGAAGAAGAGGAGTCTGAGAACCGCGGTGAAGGACGTTGGCACAGCCGCCACTCCACCCACCTCACCCCCGGCTATTCCTGCCCCACCTTGGCTTTCTCGAGCTGGGCCAACGCCTGGCGCTCGGCCTCCTTCCTTAAGGCTTCTCTGTCTTCCTCCAGAGACACATCGGAGTCTGACGGCCGGCTGGTGTAGGACTCCGCGGAGCCCTGAAGGCAGAGAGGGACAGGAAGGGACACTGCTGCATCGCCAAAGCTCAGAGAAAATGGGATTAGACCGTAGGGAGCAGGAGCCGAGGTTTGTAAGCCCCTGGGAGCAGGGTGGCCCTGGGAAGGGTGAGAGCAGCAAGCAGGGGGCTAAGGCAGGTCCAAGGACAGCTGTCTGGGGCCTAGGGAGGGGTGGGAACCTGATAGGGGCACAGAACAGGGAGGAGTGCCAGGGGATGAGTCTGCACTCCCTGCCCCTCCTAGCCTCCCCTAACCCCGGCACTGGCTAAATAGCCTTAGCAGAGGCCCAGGGACTGTAGCCACCAGCTTAGCTCTCTGCACCACTGGACACAGAATCCTACCTCCCCTGCCCGAGCTACCCCAGTCAGAAGTCCAACCCTCAGAGCCTCATAAAACACCAAGGAGTCCCGAAGATCCCCCGGGTGGGGCAGGGACAAGAGACAGAGTAGGAGCAGACAGGGCAGGCCTCTGCCCGAGACAGGGGTGCTGGGTACCAGGCGGCTGGCTCTGGCCACACTGACCGACCCAGAGCCCAGGGAACTGCCTCTGGGATGCACACATACGTGTATGTGTAAGACACAAGTAGCCTGTATGGGCCTCTGGTGTGCATCAACACGTTGAGTCACGTGTGTACTTGAGTGTGTAACCGCACGTGTGTTTAGGAGGGTGTGTTCTACAGAACAGGCAACGCGTGTGGAGGTACACACAAGAGGGGTGCACTTGGTGGCCGTGTCCCTGTGGATGTGGGGCATGTGAGGGCAGGCGCTGAGCGAGCAGGGGATTTGGGTGCGTCGGGGGGGTGGTGGTGGAGGTTGAGGGGGACACGAAGCAGGAGGAAGTGAGGAAAGAGCTGGGCGATAAAGAGAGAGGCGAGGGCTTGTTCCTGAGGACACAAAGGAGTCTCTTGGCCAGGAAGGTCCATTAGCCGAGGGTAGCGGGGATCTAGACAAGAGAGTACAGTCACTCCTTCCCTCAGTAGCCTCTGGCCATTAGCTAGAGCAGCTGCCCCTCCCTGGCCCAGTCCAGCCCGAGGTGGGCAAGTGCTGGGGAGAAGGGTTCGAGGGTGGGGAGGGCGAGCTAAGAGAAGCGGGAACAAAAGACAAGAATCGCATCTACTACTTTCCACCTCCTGACCAGAGCTGGCAGAGCCAGGGAGACAGAGTAGCAGAGGCTGAGAGAGACTGGCCCCAAACACACACACACACACACACACACACACACACACACACACACACAGACTGGGTAGTGAAAGGGTTAGAAAGCAAAGAGACAGGCTGGGCTAAAGGCCCCCTGAGTTTTCCTGAGGGGCTGCTCCCCCCTCCCTCTGCTCCCCTTCCAGCTCACCACCACCAGAGTCCGGCTGGGCGCCTCCATCCCGGCACCCTCTGTGCCTGATCCTGCTGGTCTAGGGGGTGGCCCAAACTGCCCGTCCCCCCAGGGGGCTCAGGTTACAAGCAGAGTTGCTACATGTGCAAACTGCTAGGGTATATTTAGCTCTGAGATGTGGCAACGCGCGCGCACACATACTCGCGCATGCTGCTACCTCCTTGGGTCAGCCCTGGAGAGCCGAGGAAAAGGTTGGAGGCTGGAGTAGGGCAACACAGCAGACTCCCGGGACTGAGGGACCCTGAGGGAACCAAGGTCCTCTTCTCCTAAGAGGGGTGACCTGAAGCACAGCCTTTCTGGGAGCTCTGGCCCTGGCCCTGGGCCAGCCCTGCAACAGGAGGGCAGAGGGAACGATTGAAGAGAGGACTTCCGGTTTGTTCCTGTGCTTGGAACTGCTGGGAGGAAGCTCCTTCCTGACCCTCAGGGGAGCGGGAGGGGACCACCCAAGGGCCCCTCCTGTCCCCTGCCTGCATTTTCCCTGCCCATCTCCTCTGCAACTCAGTCCTTCTTGGCTGATCCCAAGCCCTTCACTCCTTTTTTAGGTACCAGGTTTCCTGGAGATGTTCGGTAGTCATAGCAACCACCTCTCTCTCTCTCTCTCTCACTGCCTCTCCCCAAGCCTAAGGTGGCCGGGGCTTGAGAGGGTGGAGGCAAGGGCAGCAGCTCGCTGGCTGCGAAGAGAGGACCCTCGGATGCTGGTCTCAGCCATCCCCCTCAATAGGGCTTCTGGACGCAAGTCCTCTCACAGTCCAACTCCCTGCAGCCCCGTCCGTCCCCTGCAGACAACCAAAGACCAGCTGTCTCTGGGGGTGTGGAGGGCGTTGCCCCCACTCACACCTAACCAGGGCTCCAGGGACCCAAATGTCCTAGGACCTGCCTCTGCCCCACCCTGTCACAGATTCTGGGGGAGGACGTGGAAGCAGACAGCCGGCAGGGAGAGTGGGTGACAGCCCGAAGCAGGCTAGAAGGAGGCAAACCAGGCTGTCCCTGAATGAGATGACGCAGGCAGGCAGGCAGGCAGGCAGGCAGGGGCTGGCGCCGGGTACTGGGGGAAGGGCAGGGCGGAGGCGGGGACTGAAGGAGTGGGTGCAGCTGACAGCACATTGAGGAGAGGTCACGGGGTGCCGGGTGGTGGGATGGCTCTGGCAGGTATTACCTGACCCGAAGGACCTAGAGGAGGGCTGTTGGAGGAAGCCCAGCCCCGGCTCCCGCTGCTAAGGCCTCCCCCAGCCCCGGCTCCACCTTACCTGGCGAACAAAGCTGTTGGATGTGGTATCTGAGGACGTACTCCCATCAGACCTTTTGAACCGTCCTTTCCTCTTGCTGTATTTTCCCTAGAGCAGCGAGGAAGGGACAAGAGTGGAATCAGGAAGAACCTGCCCCAACCTTTTTGTCCACTGAGCCCCTGGTCTGAACAGCTCCCAGCACCCCCATCTTCTTCCTGCAATGGTATAGTCCAAAGGGAGAGAGGGTCTCCCATTTCGCCCAGAGGGCCCAGACCCTAGCCATAGGGTGGGAGACGGGGCAAGAGAGGCTTAGGGAGCCACACACAGGAGCCCCCCAAACAAGTCAGGAGGAGAGGTGAGGAGAGGCGCTGAGATGCTGGCGGCTCATTAGGCAGCAGAGCTAATTAAGATGCAGAGCTGGCTGCAGAGGCCTGGGGGAAGGGAAGGACTGCCCGCAGTGTTAGCGGGGTAAGGGGTGGAGAAAGCTAGGGAAAGGCCCCTTGGTCTTAGCTGGACTCGGAGCCCTGCTGTGTGTGCCACGGGCACAGTGGGAGACAGAGCCAACCCAGGGCCCCTGCTTGGCTTCATCCCTTCATTTTTCCGCAGAGCGAGGAAGGGAGTGACAGCTGTCAGCCCTTGGGACCCAAAGCCAGGTTTCAGAGGGGGATTAGGGAAGAAAAATCAACATCCAGGCCAAGCCCAACTCCCCAGGTGATCGATGGCCTCCCCTCCGGGGGGCTCTGCGGGACTTCCTTCCACCCACCTCACCATCACATCAACCACACCTCTCCCCAACAGGGGCAGAGTGTGACCAAACGCCATCCCAGCTGCCACTGCCCACATCCTGTCCCCATGGTATCCACTCAGCTACGTCAGTCTGAGTGCCTCCCAGCCCCATCTGAAGCAGAGCCGAGGGCAGGTCTAGTCCCTCGAGTCTCCAGCACACTGGCCAGGGCTCCCGGCTCTAGTGCAGTGGACACCATGCTGAACACCCCTCACGCCGCCTCTAAAGGAAGCTTAAGGCTTCTTCGGGTATTTCTGAGCAATCTGGAAAGGGGGCTTCTTCTTTGTCCTCCCCAATTCACATTTACACATTGGACCCCCGTGGTCAGTCTGGAGGCATGGGGGCTGTGGTTCAGAGCTCATTCCACCCAAGACCCTCCTGGCCTGCCTTCCTGCGAGGGTCCCTTTTCATATGCATCACCGAGGTGAGCCAGGATCAGACTGGGGCTTCTGGACAGGAGAGGGCACCTGGAGACTCTTCAAGGGTCCTCCCCTCCACTCTTCTTTCAAGCCAGAAGTACACCCAAGGTGTAGGTTTGAAGAGCCCTCCATGGAGGCAGATTCTCATTCAAAACACCACAATCCCACCCCAGCTGGGGACAAGGGAGTGGCACTGGAGGGGCAGAGGACAGCTGAAGGGAAGGCCCCAGTCAGCTGCTTCCCAGGCTCCATGGGGCCTGGGGTGGAAGAGAGTGGTATTTTTAGGTCTGACTCGACCCCTCCCTACATACCCATCAACCACATCACAGTATCATGGGACTGACAGTTGTTCCAGGCTGGTCACAGCTAGAGAAGGGTTAACTCTACCCTAGTCTTAGGGTCTTGCTGGAATGGAGATGAATAAATCTCAGAGACATCTCCTGGTAGGACCGCCCAGGCCTTTGTGGTCACCCTTCAGGGCCCTACCACACCAGGAATGTCCCACCCTGGGAGTAGCCCAGAACTTGGGGAAAATTTGTGAGTGGGTTAGGAGGACCGAGACCGACTCCCACCCCCTCAAGTAACACAGCTTCTTCCCCTCCAGGATAGTGAGTTGGCACGCTTCCAACTTTCCAAACTTTGGGAGGCCAACGTGGGCGTGGGGGGCGGAGAGCTGGTGAGACCTATAAGGATGGGACCAGGGGAGTTCCAGAGAGGGGTCTTTCTCCGGGCCTGCCCCTTTCCCCCACCCCAGAGGGCTGGTGTCCATGGCACCGCCCTAAGACCATCATTCGGCCATCGGCCATCTCCCAGTTCCACCCCCGCCCCACCCACCGCCGCCCAAAGGCACCCCCCACACCCGCCCGCGTGTACTGCGTCGCCCCCCTTTTACCTAAGCTTGCTCTCCAGCCTCCCTCAACCTCCCCTTCCCCAGGCCCGGATCCCCCGCCGCCCCTCCCCATCCACTGCCCG